GGAATGCCGCCTGGTTGCTAGGTAACCAGCGCGGCAAAGTTGCGGGAAGAGCGAGGTCTCCCTGTACTGCTGGGGCGCCCGCTGCCCCAGACCCTCCTCCCCCGCGGTCTGCCCCGAGCTCCGCCCCAGACCCTCCCCAGGCGGCCTGCCCCCCCGGCGCGCCACCAGCACTCCCCCTTTCCCAACACCCTGGGCCCAGGCGTGTTCTCCCCAGTCTCCATTGGGAGCTCCAGACTCTAGCCTGTAGAGTCCTCTTCATGGCCGGAGAGTAGTTCTTAAGAAAGTAGTAGACATGCTGATCTTGGTTGACTCGAATTATTAATGTAGACAGAGCCCCCTGCAAAAACATTTAGCTCTGACCCATTTGAAAAAGTCCGGCAGGACTTGCCTGGTGGCGCAGTGGTTAAGAATCCGCCTGCCAATGCAGGGGACACGGGTTCAAGCCCTGGTCTGGGAAGATCCCGCATGCCGCAGAGCAACTAAGCCCATGTGCCACAACTACTGAGGCTGCGCTCTAAAGCCCGCGAGCTACAACTACTGAAGCCCGCGCGCCTAGAGCTTGTGCTCCGCAACGAGAAGCCACCACAAGTAGAATCCTGCTCACCGCAATGAAGAGTAGCCACCACTTGCCGCTACTAGAGAAAGCCTGCGCGCAGCCACGAAGACCCAACGCAGCCAAAAATAAAAATTAAATTAATTAAAAAAAAAAAAAGTCCGGCAGCTGCTCAAAGGGTGAAACAGAGCTACCATGTGACCCAGCAATTCGTATATACTCAAGAAATGAAAACATATGTCCACGCAGAACTGTACATGGATATTGTCACCTTTAATATTAAAATAGCCAGTTATTTCACCAGCAAAGGCAGGCTTATTCAGGAATAGCAGAGGAATTGCAGCTCAGTATCTCTGAACCATGGTGGACCACTGGCAAATCCAGAGAACAAGGAGGGGGAACATGCTATTATAGGGAAAAAAGGGAGCTGGGAGGGGCTGTGATATCCATAGCCCATTGGAATAGCTGGGGTCCAAAGTAAGGAGGCTTCCCATGGGCTGGGCCGCTGCAGTCTCTGATTGGCTGGGCTGCCGTGGGAGGAGAGAAGTTTCCTTCCTCCGGCTGGGTGGTCCGTAGAGATGCCTTCCTTTCGGAGGTGTGTGTGGGGGGTTCTTTTTCTGTTTGCATTACCAATGAAAATAAATATACCATTCGTTTTGTTTAATTTTAGAACTGCAGTCCTCCAATTTAATCTTAAGAAAAACGAGTTTGGGGAGATCAAAAGTTTCCCATAATGGCCATTGTAATTCTGGATTACTTTGGCCCACTTAGTTAAAAAATAGTCATGTAGGGCGGTCCCTAGATTTTAAACATGAAACCAGCTGGAGTCCCCAAAGAAGAGCTGCCCTCAGAGCATTTAGATGGCCAGGATCCCATTTCCCTAAGTCCTCCTGAAAACCCAAGACAGTTGCTAGAGTCCTAACCCAGATTCCAAAGGGAATAAAACAAAACTCTTAGATCCCAATTAGCTCAGTCCCCAAAAGAGAACCTTGCTACCGTGCACTCCAGAAAACAGCTGAGTACTCACCAAGGATGAAACCACACCCTGAAAGGACAAAGCCTCTGTCCTGAATAAAGTTGGAGAGCTCAAAACGCAAAAAGAGCAGAGCTCAGAATCCGAGAGGAGACTCACCAAACCAAAAGCTGGTGGAGACTCACAGAAGCAATAAGCACAAAGGGCTTGGTGCAATGCCTCAGTCAATTTCATCCCTTGGGGTTTGCCTCCAGACCCCACTACTGACACCACATGTGTCCACTTCAATAATATAAATAGCTAGTTATTTTACCAGCAAAAGTGAGTTTATTCAGGAATAGCAGAGAAATTGCAATTTGAGATACATGAACCGTGGTGGACCACAGGCAAATACAGAGAACAAGGAGAGGGAACTTGCTTTTATAGGGAAAAGGGGGATTGGAAGGGGCTTTGATAGAGTCCACTGGAGGGGCTGGGGGTCCAAAGTAAGGAGGCTTCCCATAGGTTGGGCCACCGCAGTCTCTGATTGGCTGCAATCAGAGTGAAGCAGAGAGAAGTTTTCTTGTTTGTGCTACATAGTTAATAGAGATGCTTTCCTGTCAGAGGTGGAGGGGGACATCTCTTACTGTTTGGGGGTCATTGACGATGCATTGAGGGCATGAGAGCTTCCCCTACAGGCCTGTCCCCACTCCAGATTTAGCTGGTTTCTTTAATTAGTTCCACAATGTTCATAGCAGCATAACTCATAACCAAAGGGGAAGCAACTTAATGTCCACCAACCGAGGAATGCATGCAAACAAATGTGGTATATCCATACAATGGAAAATTATTCAACTGTAAAAAGGAATGAAGTTTTGACACATGCTACAACATGGGTTGTACATTATGCTTGAAAACCTTGTGCTAAGTGAAAGAAGTCAGTCACAAAAGACTATATACTGGGCTTCCCTGGTGGCACAGGGGCTAAGAATCCGCCTGCCAATGCAGGAGACACAGGTTCGAGCCCTGCTCCGGGAAGATCCCACATGCCGTGGAGCAACAAAGCCCGTGAGCCACAACTACTGAGCCTGTGCTCTACAGCCCATGCTCCACAACAAGAGAAGCCACCGCAATGAGAAGCCCGCGCACTGCAATGAAGAGTAAGTAGCCCCCCACTCGCCACAACCAGAGAAAGCCCGCACACAGCAACGAAGACCCAACGCAACCAAAAATAAACAAACAAATAAATTTCAAAAAAAAAGACTATATACTATATGGTCCACTTATATGAGATGTCAGTAGGCCAGAATAGGCAAATCATGGACACAGAATAGTGGTCACCACAGGCTGGGAAGGGAATGTGGAGTGACTGCTCAAGGGTACTGGGTTTCTTTTCAGGGACATGAAAATATTCTAAAATTGACTGTGGTGATGGTTGCATGTATCTATAAGTATACTAAAAACTACTGAACTGTTCACTCTGAATGCAGAGTTCCCAACAGCTTCACAAATGGTACCTGTTGTGATCTTTACAGCCCCAGGTTCTATTTTTTTAATTAATTAATTAATTAATTTATTTATTTTTGGCTGTGTTGGGTCTTCGTTTCTGTGCGAGGGCTTTCTCTAGTTGCGGCAAGCGGGGGCCACTCTTCATTGCGGTGCGCGGGCCTCTCACTATCGCAGCCTCTGTTCTTGCGGAGCACAGGCTCCAGACGCACAGCCTCAGTAGTTGTGGCTCACAGGCCCAGTTGCTCTGCAGCATGTGGGATCTTCCCAGACCAGGGCTCGAACCCGCATCCCCTGCACTGGCAGGCATATTCTCAACCACTGCGCCACCAGGGAAGCCCCCAGGTTCTATTTTTATCTCTGGCTTAAAGAGGAGAAACTGAGGCACAGAAAGGTTGGTAACCCACTGGCCCAGCCTGTTCTTCCCCCTGGAGCCTCTCCCCTGAAGCCCTGCACTCTGCAGAGACCCCTGCACCTGCAGCTTTGCTCCTGGGGCCTGACATCTGGGTCTCACCTCCGCCTAGTCCCTGACCTAAGCATGACGCTTCACCCTGGACACCTTGCAGCCCCCTCACCCCTCCCACTGCAAGACTTGGAGACAGGCCAGAGGGGGAGAGGCAGGGCATCCACAAGGCCCACCACACTTTGTGGCCCAGGTGGCCAGGTGGCAGGTGGAAACAAAGGGAAAACCTCATTTAAAATGGAGTTGGGAAACCCTGAAGGGGGAGCTCTCACACACACGTACCTTACTTTACATTCCTGGGCAGGACGAAGCTTGCTTTACTACCCAGCAGAAGGAAGGAAGCTTTTCTCCTTGCCCAGCAGGAGCCAGCCAGAGAGAAGCTACCACCACTCCGCACACGAGAACCCATCACCACCCTGCGCTTTTCTCCATGGACTTCCGGTTCAAAGCAGCCCCTCCCAATAAAGTCACAGCTCCTCTCCTTTGCTCTCCAGTCTCGCCTGTGGTTGGCCGTAGTCTGTGTTTCCTGAACAGCAGTTCCTCTGCCATTCCCAAATCAACTCATTTTGCTAGTGAAATAACTGGCTATTTCGTTTTAAGGTTGACACAGGTGTGAGGAATTAGCAGAACAGCTTTGAGGACATGGCCCGCTGCGGTTCTGAGAACCTGTGGGGCTGCCCCTGGGACCCCATGTGGGGAGCGTACAGAGGCCGTGACCTTCCTCAGCCATGGTGGTGACTGTGGGAAGCCCCAGTGCACTGGAGCAATTCAGGGGCTTTGACGGTGGCTGATTCTGGCCTTGCTCAGGGATTGCTGGTGTCCTGAGACCACACCTCAAAGAACCAGGTCAAAGGTTACATGGGAGTGGCCTGGTCTCAGATCCCAAGGTTTCCTTAGGCCTGCAGGACACATTTATGGTGGTAAATGGTGAAAATATTGGCAGAAATGCTTTCCAAAAACATTCTTGCAAGGAAGGCAGAGAAAAAGTTGCGAATTTGTAAAAGAACCATGGCTATCCTTTTCCACTGGAGTGGAAAACCTGCAAAGGTGAAAGGTTCCATAGAACTCTGCCCGCCACTCGCACACCTGCCGCCTGGGAGTTTTCTCAGGGTTGATGGAAGGATTTGGGACAACAGGGCTGTAAACTCAGCCAAGAACGGCTCTCTGCTCCCTGAGGAAGAAAACAGGGGACTTCCCTGGTGGCACAGTGGTTAAGACTCCGCGCTCCCAATGCAGGGGCCCGGTTGGATCCCTGGTCAGGGAACTAGATCCCACGTGCATGCCACAACTAAGGAGCCCATGAGCCTCAACTAAGGAGCCTGCAAGGCGCAACTAAGGAGCATGCCTGCCGCAACTAAGACCTGGTGCAACCAAATAAAAATAAATGAATAAATAAATAAATAAATGGCATTCACTATTTAAAAAAAAAAAGAAAGAAAACAGGAACTGCTGAGATTTAAGGCCCAGAGGCATTGGTGGGGAGCAGCAGGGAGACAGAAGTGTTCCTGGGGTGAGGACATCAGGGGCCTGGGTCCCCACCCCAATGCCATCCTGGTGTGACAGGCACAGGCCAGCTTCCCGCAGACCGGAGGAGCAGAGGCCCAACCTGGGAGAGGGGTCTCTCCTGCAGGGGCCTGAGGCCAGCGAGGTCTATGGCCCAAGAGAGGCTCCGTCAGCCAAAGAAGCCAGAGGGGGGTGGGGTGCCTGGGACCAGCCTGGAGAGGACTCGGGAGACCCCAACCTCAGCTTCCCTGCCTGTGCTGCCTCTGAGCAGCAGCCTCAGAAAGACCCCAGAGGGTCTTCGACCACATCCAGGCCACTGGGGTTGGGAGGACAGATTCCCCCAGTGAGGATGAGCCTGGGGCACTCTTGGTAGACTTGTCATACTGACCTCTTCCTGGGGGAGGCGCCCTCGAGACAGCGGGAATGGGGGGCCTGCGTCCTGCTGCACTTTGGCAGCAGGGTTCACAGGGGAGGAGCCGGTGGCCATGTGCACCTCGACTGGAGTTCTCGCCCAAAACAGGGCAGGGTCAGCCTGCCAACAGCCGGTGGGGGGGCAGGCCACACTGCCTGAAGGGGCGCGGCTTCTTCACAAGATGGACTCAAAACCAAGGCAGAGGGTGAGGCTGAGTCTCAATAAAGTTCCTAATAATAGACTTTAATATGACAACAAAGTGAATTTAATAATATAAAGTTTATAAAAGTGATGTGTGTCGAAGAAAGCAAACTATAGGAAGAAAAGCACAATTCCACCATCCGCACGCAAATATAAATATCAAATATAAAAACTACTCTCCTGGTATTTTAATGCATTTTAACTTAGTTGAGATAAAAAGAAATGTATATACGTTTACAATCTATGTTTTTTTCACTTAGCAGTATAACATAAGCATTTTCCTATGCTGTCATAAACTCTTTGAAAGCGTCATTTTTAATGGCTGCTTAATCAGCATATGAATATACCGTGTTTGCTCAGACATTTCCCTTTTATTGATAATCCAGGTGGTTTATAATTTTTGCCTCAAAGGACATAGTAATACATATTTTCAATATTTTGGAGTTTTTCTTAGGATAGTTTAGAAAAAGTTAATTAATGGACTAAAGTATAAACAATTTTTAAGGCTTTAGAGTCTTATTGCTGGACTGCTTTCCGAAAGGGCCGCACCCATTTCCTCTCCAGACAGGACTAGATGAGACCTGCCCTTTCCATCCTTCATTGAGAGTAGGGGAGCTTCCACTGTGGGGCGAGGCCGGGGCTCCTCTTCCTGCGCCCCTCCGCCCCCAGGCTGGAGACGCTGCGCTGCCTTTGCCCAAGGGGCCACAGGGGCAGGCTCTTGGGCAGCGAGGCTGCTGGATATAATTTAGGTTCCCTCAGACCCTCGGAAGGTGGGAAAGAGAAGCAGCAGTGTTTCTGTGGCATTAAAATTGGGAATGCCAAATAAAGACATGGAAAAGGGGAGCAGCTGTGTAGACACTTGGGGGGACCTAGTGGACTCTTTTCACAGAATGAAAGTGTAAATGCAGACTGTCCTGAGCAGGTTGAGCTGCAGACTGGGGGGAGGTGGAGAGTCCAGGAGATGGCTGGTAATAGGGATACTGAGTTTGGATTACTCATGCTCAAAATCTCTTGCTGACTCTGTTCCCTGAGCTCTAACACAGCGTTTGAGAGCCTCTCACCTGTGGCAGAGGCTGCTGGGTGCCCCCAGGGTCCATCTACCTTCTCCCTTAGGAAAAATGATCATACTTCCCATGCTTCCTTGCAGTAAGGTGTGGCCAGGTGACTGGCCAGGTGACTAGCCACATGCAGGATGGAATACCCCTCCTTCATCCTTTGCTCTTCCTGCTGCCTGGAATGTGGATGTGACGCCTGGAGCTTGAGCAACCACTTTGAACTGTGTGATGGGTCCATGTGCTTTCGGTGACAGAGCAACAAGTTAATAACGAGGCATCTGGTAGGACCACCTCCAGATGTCATTGATGGGAGAGAGAAGTAAACAGGCTTGCTTAAGCTGCTACTGTTTGGGGTTTCCGTCACACCGACCTCAATGCATTTGTCTAGATTTGCTCCATCAGAGTTGCACAGGTTCTGTGCTGCCAGATCACTCTCTTGTCTTTGCCACTTCGTAGTTCAGTCCCCACTGCTGTCACAGCCTGCCATGGGGCCCCGCAAACAGAAATGTGGGTGGGGCCATGTTATCCCTGGGGGAACCTGGGGCAAACATGCCAACCATGGGTCTACACTGCAGGGTCGCCTGGGCTGCACAATATGCTGTATCGTGACATCGTGGGCGCCCCCTGCTCTCCTGCAGCTGCCCCCATGCTGCCCAGGGTCTCCCCCTGTCTTCTCTCCTGGCTCCTGCCCCGTGTCCTCAGCTTCGCAGCAGCTGTCAGAGCCTGGATACTCCACCTCCCTATCCTGCAGGACAGTCCCCCTCAGGTGGCCCAGAGCCTCCTCCAGCTGCTGCCCCCTGGACCACAGGATGTGGTAGAACTGCCCTCTCAGCCCTTCATTCCCCACCCAGCCCAGCCAGCCACCTGTCCTCAGGACCCCAAGGGCTCCCCCTCCCCCAGCTGGGGTCCACAGAGCAGGGCCTCAGGGAGCTGATTGTTTCTTGCTGGGGTTTGTCTCATCTTCAGCCCTCTGGGCCCCAGTTTCTCCTCTAAGGGAATCAACACTAGACTTGAAAGGGTCAGAGGTTGGGTGCTCCGGAAGGGCCTGGGGAAGGTGCGTCCTGGGGTCAGGGAGAGTGAAGGCGAGCAGGGAGCTGCGGTCATCGGGGAGGGCTCCCCTCCGCCTACCGGATGCCAGTCTCACCCCGTAGCGGAGGGGACACGCCCCTCTGCAGGTGAGGCCTCGGGCCTCGGGGCGGGGGCGAGGGCGGCATCCCCAGGAAGGTGCTCCAGGCCCGGGGGACTGGGGGGAGGGGTGTGCCTTCTGGCCCGCGGGCCACTAGCTCCTCCCCGACGGCGCCGGGCGGCACAGGGACCTGAGGCGGGAGGGGAGAGTCGGCACAGAAGTCGGGAAGGAGCGCTGGGCGGCTTCGCAGCCACACTCGGGTTCCCACCGGCGCTGGGACTGCCGGTCCCTCCGACCCCTCCGAGCGCGGCGCCCAGCACCGCCACCAGCGTGCGGGCGAGTCCGCTCCGAGGCCACGCCCACCCGGACGGGGTCCGAGCCGAGGCCCCTCCGGCCGGCCCTGCCCCCTCACCTGGAGGGTGCCTGGGGCGGCCGCGGGTGGGGTTCTGTCCAGCCCAGGCCGCGGGGAGGCTGGCCGGGCTGGGATTGCGGCGGGACAGAGGAGCGCGGCCCTTCGAAAGTGAAGGGCTTACGCGGGGAGGGCAAGTCCACCCTCTGGGCCCCGAGCCGGGGTTCTTGGATCCCTCCGGCCCGGCTCTCGGAGCGTGCGGGAAGGCATGTCCACCCCTGGGCCCTGAGCCAGGAAGACCCCAGACCTGCCGCTCTGCCCTGAGGGGAGGGGCTGTGGTCTCTAGGGTGGGCTGACCTGGGGATGGGGAGGCCCAGGGTGGCCAGCTGGGTCCTTGGCTCCCTGGGGGTTCTGCCTAGGCACGGGTGGGAGCCCGCCAAGGGCTACTGGATTCTGATTCTGGGGGCAGAGCAGGAGGCCGTGGGGGCTCTGGGGAGGTAGGCGGGAGAACATCCTGGAAAGACTTCCGTTCTTCCCTCCCCAGGCAAGAGGTCGGTCTCCGGGGCTGGGGCCAGCCCTTGGGCAGCTGGCGGGGACCCGTGCTGAAGTGGAGAAGGGAAGCGGCCTCCCACCCAGCCCCCTCAGGGTGCTCCCAGGTGTGGGCCAAGCAGGCGGCCTCTCACTCTGCCCCTGCCCTTCCAGAGCCAGCTCTGGAGCCCCGGCTGCTAAGGCTGGCATGTGGGCATGCGCTGGCCTGAGCCCGAGTTCCCCTGGCTGCCCCTTCCTCCCATGCCAGCCCTGTGCTGGGGTGGAAGGGAGGCGGGGCTGGCAAGGGTGGGTGGGGAGGAAGCCCCTGGTTTGACTGAGGTAAGAGAATCAACCCTTGGAGAAAGACTGATGCACACAGCAGAGAACTCTGTGGCCCCAGCTGGATCTGCGCACACCCTTCTCCTGCTCCAGTCCCTTCCATGGCTCCCTGCTGCCCCCAGCTGAAGGCCCGGCTCCCCAGCTGCTGAGAGGCCCTCTGTGGTCTGGCTTCTGCTAACCCCCAGTCTCACCTCCCGGCAGCGCCCTTCTTGCCCTTTATGCCCCTGCAGAGCTGAAGTGCTGAGTACTGAGCCCCTGGGAGGTAGCACCGAGCCCCTGGACACCAGTTGCCCGCTGCCCCTCAGGGCCTGTCCACACCACAAGGGCAAGCTCCCCTGCCAAGTAGGCACCTGCTCTCCGGGCCGTGTCCACTTACACTACGCACTCCCCGTGAGGGCTGCACACAGAGCAAGCTGTGTCTGGGGGTGGATGACCGGATACATGAGACAGAGGGGTGGCAGAAGGGAGGGGGTAGGCAGATGACAGCACTCGAAAGATGAGTCAGAGGAGGAAGCAGGGGCTTCCCCGGCGGTCCAGTGGCTATAGGACTCCTCGCTTCCACTGCAGGGGGTGCGGGTTCGATCCCTGGTTGGGGAACTAAGATCCCACATGCGAGGGGGCACGGCCAGGGGAAGAGGGCTGGGAAGGGAAGATGAGGAAGCAGAGCCAGCAGGTGGGGCATCCGCTGCGGGGGTGGGGTCAGAGGCCGGGCAAGTGAGGGTGGGCCTCTCCCTGTTCATTCTGGGCAGTGGGGCAGGAGGGTTCGGAGTGCCGGCAGGGCTGTGGTGTGACCCTTGGCGTGAGACGGGCTGTGGAGAGTGACGGAGGCCCACGTGTGCCACATGCAGCTGGGGTGATGTCACATGGGTGCTCCCCGTAGCCCGCAGGGCCAGGACTGCTGGGAGCTGGGTGGCAGTCGCATTCGCCCCTCTGGTGACCTGGAGGCTGGCCTGGGAAGGGACAGACAGGGGCAGGACTCGCCCAGCTCTGGCTCCCAAGGCTGGGAAGGTCTCCCGGGAGCTGCAGAAGTTTCCTCTTGCGGAGCCAGCGGGTGAGCCCGCTGGGACTCCAGTCTGTACCAAGCCCTGGGTGCATGGCCTGCAGGGGTGGGGGCTGGAAGGCCGAAGGGAGGACAACAGAGAGCCGGGTGCCCAGAGCCTGCCCCCTGTCCAAGTGCAGGGACTTGCTGGGGGTCTGCACATGGCAGGGCTGGGATCCCCGAGGCCAAGAGTGCCAGGGTAGCCCCTGTAGGAACCCTGCAGGAGCCCTGGGGATTGGGAGCCTGATGGGCACACATGGCTTCCTGGGGGTGGGGTCTGATAGACAGGGACGCAGGGGCCCCAGACACCTCGCTTCGGGTGCACCAAGCAGTCTGGCTGGCTGGAGGTGGGGGTGACTTCAGGTGGACCTGGTTCCCATCCGTGAAGGCCTCTTTCC